CGCTAACACTGTGTTGACCGTGAACCGGAAATGATCGGAGTGGCATCAAGTGCTGGACCGGATGTCCGTGGCATATAGGCTATTGGGTGGTCTCTGGTCAGTTCCTGTTTAGGTCTGGTTGGAGTTCAAATGTGTTTATGGAATCAGAGTATTCAGATCTCCTTCACTTTTTAGATTTTTACATCAAGCTCTTCGTCTTTTTTTTCTCAAGGTGAACACCCAGAACTGCAGGTCGCAGGTCCCCTCTGGTCTCCTCAGAACTACACTGTTGAAAGTCCTGAACTGATTGGTCTCAGTTCTAAACCTGCCTGCAGGAAGCCTGACAATGTTTATAACCTGTTTCACAGCAGCCACGTTTTCATCCAAGTTTATTGTGGATTTTGAGCGAACTTTTAAAATGTCACAAAAAAATAAATGCACATCAGATGTGTTTCCATCAACTGGCTTGGAGTAAATCAACCAGGCTACACAAAATGTAATCATGTCAGATGTTGATGTTACACATGTCTGTAGTAAACAGGAAGTAAAGTCACAAACTCACAGGGACACATCTCAGGACAATGGAGGGACGTTATCAGGAAAGTGTTGCTACTAGTGGGAAAGTTGTGATTATTCTGTCATATCAACTAGTATTGATGATGTTACTGCTGTCTGGAGACGTAGAGAAAGAAATGTAATTCTCTTCATGTTATGGTAATATGCAGGAAGACGACAACAGCAGGAGGAGGGTCCAGCTGCAGCCGCTACAATTATTGGACAGTGGAAACAACTGACTGAGGTAAATGTTTGCTACGTCAGAACTTATTCAGCAAATCTGTTTCCATCTCCCCTTTTGTGCATTAACTCCTTTTCAGAAAATCCAAAAAAACAAAAACAAAAAACAAACACCTCAAGCGAGCATAAAATTTATTTTGTGAAATTGAGGCAGCTTTTGCAAATTTTGCCGTTTCCATTCAGCTTTTCTAAGGCGGTACTTTAAAATTCAAATAAAAAACGATGATTAAAAAAGGCTAGTCGAGGGTGGCAGCATCACGCTGTGAGGGGAGTTATCGGCAGCAGAGACTGGGAGACGGGTCAAGGTTCTGGCCCACAGGACTCAGGACCTCAGACTGGACTGAAGGTTCAYCTATCAACATGACCAGGACCCGAGGAGACACACAGGAGGACTGAAGGCCTCTGCATGCTCTATCAGAACTGATGAACTCAGCTCTCATTGTTGCATTATTCTGTTCACACCTTCTCATCACAACTCGCAGGAAAATTTTCCACCTGCCTCCAAACAGAGACTTACTGCTGAAAGTGCTCAGATGCTACACTTTGCTTCAACCATTCGCTTAAAAAAAGATAAATAAAACAAAACAAAACAAAAAACATTTTGTACAGAAGAATCCATCTGCATCTGTGGAGCTTTAGCCAGGACAGATTTGTGGATGAATAACAGCAGATCTGTGGGTTCTTCTTTTAGTTTCTGGAGTGTAGACTCCAGCAGGAAGAAACCCAATAGGAGGATTATCTCAGGAGCTCTGCTCTGTGTCTCAGGAGCTATGAAAGGTGTGTGTGAAAACAAAAGCAGAACAACCACGTGACAGTGCGTCGACTGTTTGGCTTCGGATGGAGAATGTGGAGACCCTAGGGGACACTGAATGTTCTGGAGAGGACCAACCAGTCCATTATAAAAGCCGGATTCGTTAAAGGGTCTGAATATTTATAGAAATGTATTTTATTTGTKCCTTTTTAATAAATTACCAAAACTGTATAAAATGTTTTTTTGCTCTGTTTCTGAGGGTTTCTGTCAGGAACCGAACCATGGAGTGGTCCAGACTCACCACTGCAGGGGAGGGAATGTGAATGATTGACACGGAGCGGGGTCGGATGTGGTTGACCAGCTGGCAGAGGACGGTACCGTTGGACAGAGCTTCACCCAGATCTTCTGGCAGAGCCACTTTCAGCCGAGACTCCAAAGTCTGAGGAATTAGACAGATGTTTGTTCTTTAACCCAGTTACTGCACTAACTACATATTACACACATACACARAACCAGTTTGTAATATCACATGTGGAGCTCCTCAAGTTTCTGTACTTAGTCCAAAGTTATTTATTTTACATGTGAAAGACATGGTAAATGTRTYAGGACTTTTAAARTGTGTTTTATTTGCAGATGATACCACATTTTTTTGTTTGGGTAAAGATGTAGAACGRATGTTGGCCCAGGCCTCCYKWGAAAGAGAGAYCTGGGATCTCAATGGGATTTGCCTGGATTAATAATGGTAAATAAATAAAATAAATATTGTTGGAGACGATGCAGATGAGAATTATAGAGTCAGTGAGGTGAAGCTTTTGGGTGTAATCATCAAGGAAAAGCTGACATGGAAACCTCAGATAAATTAAGAATTAAAGTTAAGAATTAAAATAGCTAAATTTATTGGAGTACTGTAAATAGTAAGGGAGTTAATCAATGATAAAACTCTGTATATGTTGTAYAGGGCTGCAACGATGAGTCAACATAATAGACGATGTCGATTATAAAAGTTGATGCAGAATTTTAACACTGAAGAATCATAATAATTACCCACATAAATGTTCATTTGTGACTGTAATGCAGTCCTTGAACTGCTGGGGGCAGAATCGCTTCTATTGTTTGTGGTTGCTTTGTTTACAAAAGAAAAAGAATGTGGCGTACCGCTCTGCAAACCACAGAAGAAGCTGTGGACAAATCAAAGAGCGATAATAGCMGGACAGAGAAACGATTGTGTCAAAGAGAGAAAAAAAACAAGACTTAAACTTTCCATAGTTTGCTACATTTTACTGACAATCAATCAAAGAAAGAAAAATGAAGACTCAGTTATTCCATGGCAGCACGTCGGCAGCAGAAACATGATCACATCCATAGGCATAATTTGCAGGGGGGTTATGACCCCAAAAATAATTTGATCCAGTCAATATACTCCC